TCCAACCTAGTGATTCTATGATTCTATGATTCTATGATTCTATGATTATAAGGATGTTCTCAAATGCCAAGAAGCTGTTTTCATTTTTATGTTTAACTGGACAACTGTGAAGTACTGTTTAGTGTCATCATTTTATTCCAATTTAAAACCAAATCATTTATTTTCTGGGCACTTAAAGCAGCATATATAAAAATGAAAAAGCAGCAGCATAGCAAGCGATGCTGGTGGTTTTGCGTTACTGTGCTTGCAGAACATGAGGCCAGTTTGAAATAATGTGGGAACAGGTCTTCAGACCCTAATGCCTAAATTCAGACTGACGCATCAAATGATATGAAACGCGATGCTGAAATCGCCCATGTGGTCAGTCACGTTTGACTTCACTGGGTAAGGGCTGGGAGGGCATGCCCAAATCTGGCTTACCCGGATGTAACTTCAATAAAACATTCCCTGAGGAAGGAACTCCACTGCCTCCACCCACCCCCATGACCCAGGTCACAGACTATCGATTCTGTCACGGCAGTGGAGATGCAAAGTGGGTACAAACTGCTAATACTGTGAGCTCAACGATTTTATGCCCATTTTCCACTAACCACTGGCCTTGGTGCAAGTTATTGGGGAATCAAATCCATATTATGGCAAGCCTTACCTTTGGAAATGCAGCTAGAAAGGCTGCTTTTCTTTAGGGGCATGGATCAGGTAAGGCCCTCGGGGCCTTTGTTTATTCAGCCTGCAAGACAGAATTAAAAACCTGGCAAACTGAAGATTACGGTCATTTTTATTTTTCACATAATTTGTCCACTCTTCTTTTTCCCCACTGCACCTGTCTGTGGGGCAGTGTTAATGCCCTTAAAATCACCTTTTAATCACTTACTTAAAATCATGAGAAACACTAACAAAAGTACTTAATTTTTGCAGTGGAAAAAAAAAATCATTAATTTTCCCCATGTATTCTGATTCAAATCCATGATTAACCTAAGGAAAAAGAAAATCTATAGCCTTGACTGTAGTAACACTGTGACTCTCTGATGGGCCCTGATGCACCTATAGAGCCCCACTGATTTCCAGGAGGATTCTACAGGTTTGCACCAGGGTCCTGCAGGTCTGCACGAGGCTGAGCACCCAAATTGTGGTCTCTGCACCTCTTGGTAGGGAGCAGGGAATACAAAGTGGGATCTCTGTGAGGGTGAGCCTCCATTTCCAGCTGTGTGGATACGATACACCTTCTGCCATGGAGAGACCGCTCCATTGCCCTGTGTGTACATCTCTGTGCTCTCTACTCCTCCTGCTAACGAGCTTCATTGGCGCTGTGGCTTAACGCTTCCCTTCGTGCGCTGCTCCCTTCCTCTCTCGATAATCTTTACCTTTTTGCTCCTCTGGTGCCATTTTTCTTTTTATTGTTTTATGACTTTCTTGTTGTCTTCCTGTCAGTGTTTCTTTCCTTTCTGTCTCCCATGCCCTTCACCTGCAGAAAGTGATCTTTCCGAGACAGGACGATGTGCTCATCTCCTTCCTGCCTCTGGCTCACATGTTTGAACGAGTTATACAGGTAAGAAACCTGAACTGATGAGGCCTCGTGGGGCTCCTTCTGTTTTCTTCCAGAGTCAGTGGTCTCCTACTTGTGAGGATGTACACATTTCCTATTTGCCTTTAGCACACATGTTTGAGAGAATGGTACAGGTAAGGTCCTAGTGTCAGTGGAAATCATCTTTTTCCATGCCGAAAAAAATATAAAATTAATAAAATACTAAATAACCAACAATATCTTGTAGCACTAAAAAAGCTTGTACGTCAGAAGTGCCACATGCATAACACCAGGGCCTGGCCTCTGGTCTCGGGGACATGGCCATGAGTCCAGCGCGATTCCAGGAGAGTTTCCCAAGCTCTCCAGCTTACGCCAGTGGCCCTAAGATTGGAAAACAGCCCTTCATCAACGAGCAGAAACTGCTACCTGCACGATTTTGGGGGCGGCTTTTCAAAGGGTCAGATATCACGGGAGTTAAAAATAATCTTGTGCCATTTTCTACATCAGCTAAAATCCTTTTATTGCGCAAATCTGCAAAAAACTTGCAGACGGTGCAAAAGAGGAGAAAGATCGTGGTGTGACACACGGATCCTCCTGGCAGGGCAGCGCACAGTGGGCATAAACTGGAAGCCAGTGTTCCCTGGAAATCGAAGCGCTAACTTGTGCCAGCCCGCAGAACTGACTTTTCACACCCCTTTCTGACAAGACCAGTGGTAGTTTGTGCTGCAGTCGGTGTGTTGGGCAAGTCAGATGAGGCGATCACATCAGTTCTGGTCTGAGAAGCTGCAAACTAAAAACTGATCCAATATCTGAAGACTGGATCTGGATCAGGTTGCAGCTCTGTACTTTCTCAGGGAGGACTGTTTTGGGCTGAAAACATAGTTTTTGAGTCAGGCAAGCATCTGAATATAAGCCTCCCACTTCTCAGTAACAGCTGTGCCAGAAATAATATGTTCTGCCCCAGTAAAAAACTTGCAATTTGGAAGGGAAAGTCCATGGAAGATTTGGAGAATTACAGCCCAGCCCACCTTTACTTGCAGGTCTAATTTTAAAAGGCAAGTTGGTCAGTAGGGCACCACTATTTGGGCAATTTGCTTTGCCAGCAAACAAGAATATGATTATTAAAAAGCCCATCCGATGGGGAAAAAGAAAATCAGAAACATTTGAAATAACCTCATTTTGCAGGATGATGCTGTATTGAAAGGGACAGGGCAGGCCTCCCAAGGAATGTTCAGGTTTATCCTCTCTGCTAAAAAAGCTCATTAATATAGAGATTTCTTTCAAAAGGGCTAAAAAATATCTTTCAAAGTTTCTGAACAGCAAGCGCTGTGTCCCCTTCCCTAGTTTTAGCTAACGATATTTGTTCCTGGAACTTAAAATTATAGAGAGATATTTTTTAAAGCTAAACATTTCTAGTAGTTAGTTATAATTCCCAGTGAGGACATTGACTGTATTTTCCTCTTTTTAATTCACGTGCCTGTGCAGTGTAGAACACAGATTTGGCACTGAGATGTTCGTTAAACCCACATCACATGTATAAAATTCCTGTGGTTTTGGTTGCCGGAGAGACAGTCTCTAGCTGGTTGACAGAGCACTCCAGGTAGTAGCACGGAGTTTTAGGGCCAGCTCAAAAAGACTTAAGTGTCTCTTAAGGAAATTTTAACTGGTTTAGTTATCTGGGGGAGAAAGGTTGACTGAAGAGAGCTGATGTTCTCCCTTGGAGAGCTCATAAGAGGGAGCGCAATGCTCCGGGCTTGGTAGGCTGGACACAGCTCTGGCATCGCCAACGCTTGGCTGAGGATGCTTGTGCTCCAAAAGCAGGGTAGGGATGCCGGTCTCCCAACGCTCTCCGGTGTTAAAATGCCCGTTTTACCAAGCTGGTGACTAGTCCTCTGCGGTGTTACTGACTACCAGGGCTGCTGCTTCAGCTGCTAGTTGGCTCATCGCAGGCAGCCTGCCCTGCCTGACCCCCCTTCAGCTCTATTCTGATCCGATCTGAGTGCTCTGTTTGCTTTCCAAGTCTGAAATTTCTGGATCTGTTGTTTCCGTACAAGTAAAGCACCTTTTATGAAGTGGGCTTCTATTTCTGGGATACAGGATCAGGCACTGTATTGCTAACGTAGTCTATATTCTTGTATTTAAACAAAACTAAAGTATTAACACCTAAAAATCGTCTGCCGCTCAGTATGTTTTAGTGTTTCTTAATACGCGTTTCTTTATCGACAGCAGGTCCTCACGCTGTGAGCTGCTGTGGTAGGTCTGGGCCTCAGAGAAGTTCAGATCCAGAGTCTGACCGTAACTCAGACCTCTCCATCCCCATGTGATGGGAAATCCCTTCTAAAAGCTTTGGCTCCTTGTTCTTCCACAAACAGTGGCAAATTTGGTAGATGCTGAATTGTGGTCTCTGATACATGCCCAGAACTATCTTTATGTTTCTCTTCAGTTCAAAATTTATGGTTACATTTATATATATTTCTAAAGCCCTATTTTTGCCTTACTGAGAGTAGAACTTCAGGAAAGGCACTTCTGCGCTTGGGGGGATGCTCTGCCATGGGGATTCAAAGCGAGGGGTCACTGTGTTCCTTTTTCTTCCCATCAGTCTGTCGTGTATTGCCACGGAGGGCGAATTGGGTTCTTTCAAGGAGATATTCGTCTCTTATCTGACGACATGAAAGCACTGCGTCCAACCATCTTCCCTGTCGTGCCGCGGCTGTTAAACAGGATGTACGACAAGGTGAGCTAATGTTACCCTTTCTGTAATAATGCAGTTTATGTCCCTTCAGTAAGTCTGTGAAAGCACTCCCTTAGTCACGGAGATTCCCTGAGCAGGTGATATGGTTTCTGCCGTGCTGCCAACACTTTCTTACCCCGTGTAATGGATATTGCTGCTCCACACTGTAAGTCTGCATTATGTTGATGCACACAGACTGCACACGTGGCTATTGCATGTTAATATGAAATCCCTCTGCATTAGCCTCTTGCCCTGTGCTGAGTTCACTAGTGACGTTTCCAGAGACGAGAGGTTTTTTCATCAGAGAAACACCAGTCAAACCTGGATGCCCTTGGACTTTCTGTGCCCTTCACCAGTTTTGGAACTGGAATCTCTCTTGCTGGTGGCAACGACAGCTCAACATTGGGAAGTGCCAAAAGACAATGAGGGTTTAGGCAGTGCAAATGTGAGGTTGGCTTTTGCATCTAATAAATCTTTAAAACTGAGAGATGGTCTTGGTAGGTATTTGAGACAGACGTGTCTGGCCATCATGTTAAATCTGTTTAACCAGCTGGGAATATTTATTCCTCAGAAGACTTATCCTCTAAAGATGAGCTTAAGCACAAGCTACTGATTTAATTTTTCCCCAAGGCCAGGACTGTTGGGTCAGGGGTTCTGGGGCCTCATTAGAGGGATGGGCACTGGGCGTTTCTCGTTTGTAGAGGTGTAGCTCATCCTGGGGTGTGATTAAGCTTAGGTAAACACAACCCCCATTGCCTTATCAGCCAGCACTGATACCTGCTCTAGCTGCCAAGTATTCAAGACGCTCAGATTTCATGATTGCACTGAATCCTATCATAGAAAACCTATAAAAAGAGCAGTCGTGGATCTAGTCAAAGCCTAAACCATCATTCTTTGTTTTTCCCTGAAGAAACAGTATATACAATAGGGAATGGAGTTAAAAAGACCACTCTCTCATTTCCCTCCAATAAAAAAGCCATAGTGCAGTCTCATTTAACTGTGCTGCTGTAGTAACGATGCCCTACCTGGCACCAGCGGAACAGTATGGCTGTAATTGTAAGCAGAGCTGTTGATGTTTTCTCTCTCTTGGGTGCCGTGCTGCCTGCCACCCCACGCTCCCGCAGATCTTCAGCCAGGCAGACACGTCCCTCAAGCGCTGGATTCTGGAATTTGCTGCAAAACGGAAAAAGGCTGAAGTTCGAAGTGGGATCATCAGAAATGACAGTTTGTGGGATAAGCTTTTCTTTAATAAAATACAGGTAAGGAATTTAGGAAGTGAGTCTAAAGGCAAAGAACTGTCATTTCTAGCAATGACTGGTCTTCCCTAAAGTCAGTGTGGTCCACTTGCCTGATGGTGAACTGTGGGCAACTGCTGCTCGCTAGTGCACAGCAGACTGCAAATTCAAACAGAAAAAGGAAATGGAGCACAGTTTATTATTCCAATAACTTTTGCCACATTTATTTTTATTTATAAATAAAATAAGTTGGGAATTGTAGGGAGCGATAAGGTGTCCCCTGAGCCTCCTTTTCTCCAGGCTGAACCCCCCCAGCCCCCTCACCAGTTCTGCTCGCTCACACACAGCACAGGCAGGGGAGAGGAATGCATTAAAACCACTTCTGGCTCCTCCCAGTTGGTCTGAGATTCAGGATGGTGGTCATGAAAAGAGGAGTATGATTGAAGAGCTGTTGCTCCAGAGTTTTTGTCAGATTCTCTATAGATGTGATTGGATTCAAGTTCAGGTTTCCACTGGGCATATTCTAAAATGGGTTTTTTCCTAGAAAAACAAGAATGAAGGTGTAGAGAAAATGCACAAGTAAATCATGATTTAACAACAGGGGAAAGAAATCAGAATGCCTCGCAGTGTGCCTCCCCTCTCAGGGAAAAAAGATTAAGTTGGCTTTAAACCAGGTTTTCCAGGCACTGTACTACTCCAGGAAGCTCTGATTGCTTCAGTTTTTTTAATTGGATAACTTATCTGGAGACGTGCCACTTTATTTTTAACTGAAGAAACTGACTGTACTTTTCATCTGAGGATTAGTTGTCCTCAGTGCGCAAAGATAGCAGAGTTCACACGGCGCTGACGGGAGCACAGACATGAGGCAAGCCAGGCTGCATATTGATTCAGGATCTGGCGAGACGGGCAGTCTCAATAAGGGGTTGTTTTCTTTTTGTTCTGGGTTTTCTTTTTACTTTTGGAATAAGAAAAAGGAAATGAAGAGGGAGAAAAAAAGAAGCACAGTCTGACACAGGAATTGAGGTAATACCCTCCAGAAATACTTGAAGGTCATTTACCTTATAAAAGAGCCGGCGTTATTTTAGATGGCTCAGAAGCCACTTCATTAAAAATGCCGAGGTGCAAATAAACGAAGAAAAGTGGAGTGGGGAAGAGTCTGGTTGTTACCCAGCAGCTCCCCAGAGCCAGATGTGTGTCCTACAGACCTGGGCTGCAGCTCACCCGGGCGCCCGCAGGCATCGAGGCAAAGCAGCTCGTCCTCCCAGAGATGTGGGACTCCCACCTCCCTATGCCGAAAGTTTTTTTTCCTGGGACACTGTTTCTACCTGCGAGGGACACAGTCGTTGCTTTTAAGATTTAGCTGACCTTTTTCTCCCTAAGGAAAGATGCGGAGCCAGTTCCTATTTCCATAGCATGGCTGCATCTGTTCTAGGGAGAGTATTTTGTGCGAGCTCTCTGCAAGCAATGCTCGCAGATGCCTCTGGTTTTGCCATCTGTACTCATCTGTGATGCTCGCTTTTGTTTTCCCATGCTACCCAACAGGCGAGTCTCGGCGGGCACGTTCGCATGATAGTAACAGGTGCTGCGCCTGCGTCTCCGACTGTCCTGGGCTTCCTCCGTGCCGCCCTCGGATGCCAGGTGGGCTCGCGCAGCTGCTGGGAGGTGTTCGTTGACTGTTAGCTAGGAAAGGCAGTGTGTGTGAGAAAGGAGATGGGATAGGAACTCAGAAGTGCATTTAGGACAGCTTTACCAGGATGGATCCAACAGCAATTAAATGTGCTTCTGCTAGGAACTTCATTATGTGAGGTTTATTCCATATACAAATGGAAAAGGGTGTTCTTCAGGTGGTAGTTTAACCCACTGAAGATGTCCACTGCCTTATTTCTCTTTGACTCGGAAGCCCAAAGCAATCAAAAGCCTCATTCAAGAGCTTAAAATGAGGCGAAAAAAAAATTAAAAGATGTATTTTCAAAACGTCCCACAAAAATACCTTTTTTTTCAACCACTAATAATTTCCTCTTGTACAGTAACATACTTCTTGACTCAAAAGCTAATTGCTGAACTTCTTGCTATTATCAGCTCTACAGAGCCCCAGTGATTCATAGTCATGTAAAGGAGATGTTGTGTACAGTAAGAGACAGGAAGTGCCCCTGAGTTACATGGGTGCCCTTGTGTTGCAGCTGGCAGGATTAGCTCTGGGACTGTGCACCAGAAGGCAGTTCTTAGGATCCTATACTGCAATAGTGAAATCATACATACTGCTTCAAAGCTGCCTGTGTCTTTGTCAGGTTTATGAAGGCTATGGCCAGACAGAATGCACAGCTGGATGCACCTTTACGACCCCAGGTGACTGGACATCAGGTAACAATTCTCTGCCACCATTTCCAGAAAGAAAAACGTACGTTTCTTTAGAAAATTCTGTGTGGTGCAACATTTCCCACCATGTGGATAATCTTCATCAGATACGATGTTCTTAGAGGTATCATTACTCCAGAATAAATACATCTGGGTCAGTTGTTGGGCACATTTGCCTGGGATGTTTGGAATTGTCCCTCAGGCTGTTATTTGCAGTACTCATCTCTGCCCTCCCAGCCCTGTGAGTCCTCTCTAGAGCACTGGAGGTGAATTTAGAAGAGTGGTTGTTGTAATGAAATGCTGGAGCAAACTAAAGATTAATACGTTCAGGTACTTAGCGAGCAAACTCAGGCTTTGAGCACATACCCACTGCTGCTCAACACTTTATATATTTCAGGCTTTCAAAGCTTTTGAATCTTGGCAAAATTCAAAAAACCATTTCCTTCCTTCCAACCCGCATTTTCTGTGGCTGGAGAAGAGCACATGCTTTCTTCTCCCAGCACAACTGGCCATCTCTGTGGTTTCCTTCAAACCAAAACCAGCCCCTTGCAGACAGTGGTGTGTCCTGGCATTCGCTGCCCGCCGGACCCTGCCCTGGCCAGCACTGGGCAGAGCTCATCCTCATCACGCTTCCACCTGGCTCCTTCACAAAACGAGACCTCAGCCCGCGAAAGCTACAGCCCACAAAGTGCTGTCACGCAGAGCTGTGACTCCTCTTCCCAATCCCTGTTTCCAAGTGGCTCTTTCTGGGGAAAACAGGCCCATTTGGGACACGGTTGTGCTCTCGCAGTGCTTGTCGGCCCTTGCTTCATCTTTGGAGAAACTGTAGGGGTGGGGGGAAACGTGTCCAGCGTAGCTCACTGCAGTCGGTACTCCCAGGTGATTAAAACAACGTGGGTCCAGAGCTCCGCGTGCTTTTATCATGAGTTAAGCTTAGGAAAGGCTTTAGTCTCTCACAGGTAAGGGACACGCGGTTGGTGTTTCGACATGTTTGAAAATAGGGATTATATATATCTAAGTAGGAGGTTTGGGTATTCAGTCTTAACAGTGCACAACCTTAAACGAGGAAATAATGTCTGCACACCGACACAGCTCCTGCAAGAACATCCAGTGTGTCTACCGCTATGCAAGCAACTGCTACTGAAGTGCTAGTTATTGTTTGTAGGAGAGATGAGAAGTGACTTGATAACTTTGATTTCCAGGTCATGTAGGAGCCCCTTTGCCCTGTAACTTAATCAGATTGAAGGATGTGGAAGAGCTGAATTATTTTGCTTCCAAAGGAGAAGGAGAGGTAGCAAATCACATTTTTATATCAAATTCTCACTAGTTAACCCTGTATGAAGTAGTTATGTAGTTATAGACGCATTTGACCTCTGTAAGGTGCATGGTTGCTGACGTGTTACGTATGACACTCAGGAAAGGAAAACGTCAATTCAGCAATGGAGCAGCAAAACACTAATTAAAAAGGGGGCTGTGGCAGTACTTCCAGCCAATGCCATGCCTGATTACTTTAAAAGCTAAGACTGAATTAATTAGTTCAGCTAAGAAGAGCTGAATTGCCATGATTTCTGCATTGCTGATACTCCTATATTGCACAGAAATTAAACGTAGTGAAATAACTCTTTTTAACTGCCAGCTGAATGCAAACCAACTTCAAACAAATCAGTTTTGCATTCTCTACTTCATACTTCTATTAGCTTGAAAAAAAACCCATAGGTTAATTTTATAACACAATATATTTTAGTTTCCCGGAGCACAGACATTAAGTCAACCTTTAGAATATTTCAGTTTTCATGAATTACTATTTAACTTGCTAGTATTTACAGCAGACTAATAAAATAATTTATCAGCAACTCTAACTGTTTTGCAGATATGTGTAAAAGGACCAAACGTTTTCAAAGGCTATCTGAAAGACGAAGAGAAGACAACCGAAGCGCTGGACCAGGAGGGCTGGCTTCACACTGGAGACATCGGGAAATGGTTACCTGTGCGTACAGACCGGATGCTCAGTTCTTATCTCAACTGTATTATCCCATGTAAATTTTCAAGTACTGAACTTAAATTTCCAAGCACATATATCTTTACAAAGGATTAATTTTACATTTTGCAGAGTAAGCTTGGTATGTCAGTGTTTTGTGGCTCTGTTAAAGCAGACTGCTTACTGAGTCTCTGTGGTTAAATAACTTCTCCGGGAACTCTCATTCCTTTCCCCTCACAGAATGGGACTCTTAAAATCATTGATCGGAAAAAGCATATATTTAAACTTGCTCAGGGAGAATATATTGCACCAGAGAAGATAGAGAATATCTACATCCGCAGTGACCCTGTTGCCCAGATCTATGTCCATGGAGACAGCCTGCAGGTAAGAACGAAATTTTCACAGCTGTTACTTTGCGCTTTGTAAATAGAAGTCAGAGCGCTGGGCATGAACGAGGGGAAAGCACAAGCAGATCACGCCACCTTTTTGCCCCGATGCCTCCCTCCTGCTCGGGAGCTGGCTGGCAGCCACGCAGGAGCTGAGCTGCTGGCGTGACCCTAAGCAGCTTGGGAGGATGTTATGGCCAAAGATCAAGCCTTTAAATTTGCTCAGTGTCACCCTTTGGGTCTTTCACGCTCTCCTTTGCCATGTAACCTGCGGTAAGCCCGAGGAAGGCAAAGCCACCGCTGCTCCACGACCACTCCCTACCCATTTTAATTAATCTTGTCCCATTTATTCACAGATTTATACAAACATGTACAGTTTCTGAAACCAGCAATTCATCCCTCTACATTCGTGGGTCACAAACATGAGGCTTCCCTTAGCACTGGAGTTGGCATGATATGAGCTATGTTTGTCCCAGCTGACGCCTGAGAAAAATCTAAGTAATCTAATTAACGCCCAAGTGGAATGCAACCCAAAGTGTTAAAGTCATTGGCAAATGCAGGAACAGTCTCAGAGACTGTTTTATCTGAGGAAGAAGCACAGACACGAAACTATACTTCACTGTGATGTGTTAGCAAATTATGGACACAGTTAAACACGAAGTGATAAACACGTAGCAAATCCAAGGGGTTTATGTATTCACTCCGCCGTAGGGCCGTGCGTGTCGTTCAGCCTTTGCCTGCAGCTCTCCTTCTCCTTCACCTGCAGGCCTTTCTGGTGGGAATTGTGGTGCCCGATTCCGAAGTTATGCCAGGCTGGGCAAAGAAAAGAGGGTTTGATGGAACGTATGCAGAACTCTGTAAAAATAAGGTTTGTCTTTGGATCTGTCTGCGGAACGGATGTCTTTTCACTGTAGCATAACCTAGTTAGAGTACGTGTCTGTTATTAATGATCTCGGTGATAAGGATTATTTCCTCACTGAAATTAAGCAGAGTTGACCTGGATTCAGTGATGTGCTGACTGACCGTACAGACCTCTGCAGACTCCTCCACGGCATGGATTGGGGTCTGTCTGGCGGAGAGCAACAGTACGGCAGCAGGAGAGGTTGTGTCTGTTGAGGTGTCTTCAAGAAGGGCTCCAGCCTCCGTTACACACGCTCTCCGATGCCAAGTAACTGAGTTGCATCACATCAATGAACACTGATGCCAGTGAGTCATCCCACTGGTTTCTGTGGGAAATAATTCTGCGTCTAAGTCTGGCAAATGGTTGAAAGATTGCAAATTAGGCACCTGTGTCACACGCTCTTGAAAACACAGCCTTACTTTTTATAGTGAGGGAAGAGTTAACATCACCGCACTTAAGTGTAATGTTTGTACATTTCTTTAATAGACTATGTGCTAATTATGTATTAACTATCAATAAGGTAATTGCATTTTACTCAGAAATGTGTTTTCTTGATGAACATTAATTGTATGTGAGGTTGACACTGGTGTTTCATGAGGAATTTTTGTGTTTTAACCCAGGAACTGCAGCAAGCGATAATGGAAGACATGGTACGGTTAGGGAAGGAGAGTGGACTTCACTCCTTTGAGCAGGTAAAACAAAACAATTAGTACATTATTCAGTGTGGTCAGACCTGCCGTTTGTATCAAATGGGGATTTGTCAGCATTTGTTGCAGAATCATGGAATGGTTGGGGTTGGAAGGGACCTTAAAGATCATCCAGTTCATATCCTTGTTGCAGCTGCACACAGTGTTTTCTGAGAGAGCTTTACTGCTCGCAAGGCGTAGCAGTGCCTTTGAAAAATATACATGCTGTGATTCTGCCTCCCACGCATGCTTGAAATTTGAATTAAATTTAGTGAAAGTTTTGGGTGCAGAGGTAAGAATCTAATCCAGGGACGCGGATAATCTTTAGTCTGACAACCAGGGGTCGAGATAAGTATCTGTAGCGTCTGCCGCTGAAAGCACTGTTCAGAAACTGGGTCACTAATTACTATTCTTAGGACTGACCTAGGAAACGCTGGTGGTTTATTTATTTTCAGCCTGTGCACTAATTCTTCGCTGGTGTTTGTGTAAATATTTCTGTGACAGAGCTACAAACACTTCAGAAGGAGAGATCGGAAATCAACCATGGATTACACAGCATTAAAAACAGAGTAAAAAACCAATCCACCACACTTTAAAATGTCAAATGCTTATTTCTGTTAAAATAATGAACATCTTAATCATTATGTATAATTAGTAAGGGCCTTTTTGCTTTTGTTTAGACTGTTTCTTTGTCATAGTTCCAGTGAGTAATTCACCAGATCTGAGTGCAGCAGAAGCACCATTAAACATAAACGTATTATTCTTCATTTCTCAGTTTCCAATGCAAATGAAATTGTGGTAAAAAAGAAATTAATTTTAAAATGAAATTCAGTATAAAGCAGTTTGCAATGCAGACAGTTGTCTGTGGTAGTAAGTCTGGTTTGCTCCTGCCATAGCCTTCACAGTATGAAATAACCTCGAGCAATCTAGTCTCCCAGCAGTTTGCAATGAGTAGGCTATGAAGTCGTGAGGGAAGCCTTGCCATTTCCTAAAAGCTAAGGAGAAATGCTTTATATTTCAGAACTAAAGGGCTTCAAACATACCATCTCTGTTGCAATACGTAATCTTAAAACTCAACTTTGAGCCAGACATTACAGCAAATGCTCTTGGGTTGGGATCCCCTTGACATGGAAAAGCTGTTCTTTATCATCTCCATCCTTGTTGACAGCGCCAGAGCCTGAGCTTGCACCTCTGGCTTGGAAGTGACAGTGCTGGCTTTTCGAATGCACAGTTTCCCGGGCACAGGCTTGGAGAGCTGGTGCCGCAAGCAGGGATGGCACTCATGGCACAAACACTGATTTTGTGAAGGATGTCACAGGGCGGAGGCTGGACCACAGTGCTCACAGGGGAAAAATAGATCGCACACCTAATGGGAATTTAAAAACTGAGTCTCGGTCTCTATTCCTGCAACTCCCAGCCTAACAAAATGCAAACCAGTCTGGTTTGAGGAATCACGAAAGCAGCAGATGGCTGGGGAGTTTTGTCTTAAATCGGCGGACTCTGACCAGTCACGCAGCAGTGTTCTGCTTTCTCCCACACCAGCGCTCCCATAAACACCCTGGAAGGAAAAGCTCGCTCCCATCTGCGCTGCCAGGCTCCCTGCTGTGCTCAGAGACACTGCTGCTAACAAGGGCAGCCTTGTAAAATCCTGTTTGCCTAGGATGGATGACTTTATATCGTTTTAATTAGCTACTAAAACACCATCAATTCTTCTTCTTTAAAGATGATGATCATCATCTTTGTGCCTGCAAAGCTTTGTGATGGTTTTGCAAGACCGCCTTAGAGCTGCTGCCTTTCTCTGCAGTCGGGTTAAGAAGGCCTTTCTCCACGTGACTCCCTGCCCTCCTGCCCTTCCCCTCTCTCCCAGGGTCTTTCAACCATGTGAAACCGCAGTTACGCTGTCACATATGTGGATACTCTCCCTTGCGCTCTCCCTCGCCATGTTTTGGCCTCGGTTTCGTAGGGAAAAGAGGTTTAAGTGCTCATTCTCTTGGAGAGGTGCCTTCTATGCTGGCTGGCTGTCGGGTCAGCGTGGACATGGGAAAACAAGCAGGAGAGCAGGGAGGGGTGGTGGAGGGGGGTTAGTGTCACCTTGGGAAACTTGGGCACATGAGGAAAATCCTGGGGACCCGGCAGAAGGGTCCCCTGGGCTCCAGGGATAGGCAGGCTGGTGTAAGACGTTACGCTGATTCAGTGTGATGCTTGTAATTTTTGCTATCAATATACCCCTTTTTTTATTTTAGGTCAAAGCCATTTACATTCACTCTGACATGTTCTCAGTACAAAACGGTTTGTTGACACCAACGTTAAAGGCTAAGAGACCAGAACTAAGAGATTACTTCAAAAAACAAATAGAAGAGCTATATTCAAGCATCTCCATCTGAAACCACGGGAAGAATGTTCTGAATAATGGACTTCGTAGCAATATTAGAATAACACTCAAAAACACAGAGCCAGAATGAACCAGCTGAAATGGATAAGCATCTGAATCTTACATGTGAGCCTTTCGTTGTTGTAGGATTTCACCACTCACCACAATTTTCCTTCGTTTTCCCATCAGATGTGATACAACTCATTTTTTTACTCCATATACACAGTAAGGTACTACTAAGACTTAAGCTAAATTGCCACAAATTATACAGAAATTTCAGTTTATGACCAAGCAAATTATGGAAACGTACCTTATTAATAATGACAAGCATTTCTAATCAAAATAGGGAAGACTTCGGATATGTCTGTTGATATTTGATTGTATATAACCTAATACATTAGAAACTAAAATTGTGGATAATTCAATAATGTGGTCTACCTCAAACAATTGGTGATTGATGGTGAAAGTCTGTTTTCCCTGATCTGGAACTTCAAGCTGGATATCAGTTTATATATTAAGTGATAGTTTTTATATTTGCCAAGACATGAATTACATTGATTTGATTTAATCATTAATGACCTAACAACCAGAATAGAAATAAGGAGTGAATCGCCCGCTATTTGTACTTAATAGACCTATTAGTATATAAAATCTGAGGGATTCATACCACACTGAATTTACAAGGGTGGGTTAGGAAGCGGTAGGATAGGATTCCCTCTATTTCCTTGTCATCTGAACTCAGTTCATACACGGCATGGTGGTTTTACATTAGGGCCTCCTTCAGCACAGTGCTCATGGACATCTGAGCTACTCAGACTGAGAAGGTTGCAAAAGCATCGCTGGCTCTGTGGCGGCTTTCTGTGGGAGTTCACGATAACCCGTACGCTCCCGGTCCCTAATTTATTACTTGACATGCTGCTAATACTGTGCAGTCCAGTCAGACTAACTCCCTTCCAGAAACAGTGCTAAGGGAATGGAGCACGAGGTATGTGCTGCGGTTCTGAATGGGGCTTAGCAAAACAAATTGGTTTGGGAGAAAGGCCAGCCTGGGATGCAGCAGCGGAGGGCATCCTTTGGCTGTCCGTGGAAGAGGAGGAAACGCTGCTCCAGAAGGCCCACATGGATGGGCCAAAGGCTGGGTTGGCCATTGCTGTCCTGAGGTGTCATGGTATGGGAAACAATGGATGTGGTTGTGGAAGGGCCTGCTAGGAAAACATCTCTACGTTCAGGCATCTGGAAGCCTCGATGCCCACTGTCCTCGGTTCCCACTGTCATCACCTCCAGTGGCCTCTGTGGAATAAACAGCAAGTAGTTGGGATGGAAGCTGAGATTCCACAACCAGCTGCAGCCACTGGAAAGGGACAAGTCCTGCGTGGAACAGGAACAGACCCTACAGCTCTCTCCTGAAATAAAACACGGTACAGATCAATGAGAATGCTGTAACATCGAGTCGCTTGAACACTCGGATTGTCGGTGGCTCCCTTCTGCTAAACAGGGTCCTAAATATATATGTGTGTTTTAATAGCTGCTGTTTGTTGCACCAGTGCATACTAGCATGGAGCTGTGCCTGAGTGATCTTCTTGGCTAGGACAGTGAAAGCACACTTATTTTCTCTCTTGAACTGGAATCCACCGTAGACTTTGGAAGCTGAAAGTTTAAATTTTTTATCTAAACGATCTCTTACTTTCCCTCTGAAATTCCATTGCATGCTTCAAAATGAAATAAATTGAATTAATGGGTTAGCGTTACACGAAGACTGATTTATTGCAGTAATTTCGGAACAAAGTGATACAAAGGAAACCCTTTCAGCTAACATAATCACTCACATAGAGAACATGGCGATTTATCAAATGTGCAAGTATGTGTTTGAATCCCTTTCTGCGCCCGATTCCTCATTCGATTCCAGCGCAATGACTCATGTCAATCCAAAGCCAATGTGAAATACCACTGCTGTGATCCGATGGCATTGTGCATTCCTTTTCCACCAGTGTACACAGCAGCAGCATCCCCGGGGAATCTGCATCTGCCACGTCGATACTGGACAGGAATTACTGTACCAAATCTGGTTCTTTAGGTCAGGTCACAAAGGATTTTTATCTCTGCGGAGTCTAGCTCATCTCCTTTTTGTATCAGCCAAAAGACAGTCATGGCATACGCATGCTTCAAAGCAATGAGGAATCACATTCAGTACAATTTCCGGCCTGCTTTAATGTGACATAATTTGAAAATAATAACTAAAAAAAGTAGTTATCTAAATAAATACAGAAAAGTGATTTTCCACCAATCTTTTTCTACCATCTGAATTTAATTTACTTTTCTCCGAAGATTATTTCAGTCTAGCAGACTTTTCTAGATAACTGAACTCTGTCAGAAGATCCCATTGTGAGTTTGTTTGCGGCCTAGATGGCTGTTGTTTTCATTTATATAACGCTGAATAATATATCTGTATTCTTCTTTTGGTATTTGATGCAAAATGTCAGATGCACTAGAGCCAAAGATATGAACACCAAAAGAATGAGGGAAAATACAGACTTGGCTACATAAGGATGGGGGGAAATTTGGGAGAAACTGTGTTGTCACACCAGAAGTGTGAATACTTTCAGAACTTGGGAAAAGCAGCATAAATAAACTAAAAGCTCCCTTTAATCCTTTCTTGTGTAATCCAACTTTCCTCTGCAGGTGACTCTCTCTCGCCATAATCATAACAATGTTGTAAGAGATTAAAACTGGAAAAGAATACATGTGTAGCGCACGAGCTAGGCACAAACATGATTCTCTTCAAATTCCAGGAGTATTTGTTCTCCATTGAGCTTTCTTAAACTGAAACACCTTCTTGTGAGCCCCAAGGAAAAATCCCCAGGGCTGTCCAATAACCAGTTTGGGGTTTATTCTCAAGAAAACTAATTACAAAATTATTTTCTGATATCCATCTTATTGAAAGAGACACAAGTTCAATCACGAGTGGCAATGCAAGTCATCCTCCTCTGTCAACAGCCCTACGGATGGCTTCGGGATGACCAGTCTTAAGTAATCCCTGTCTTCTGGGGGTTCCTTCCGCAATCAATTCACGGAAAAACGCAGCAGGCCCACCGAGACGCGCCCAGCCCGGGTCGGCCATTGCGGGTGGGACTGGTGCATGCTCAGAGCCAGGCCCCAGCGACGGGGCTGTTACTCCATGACACAAAAGCACTGTTTCCTTGAGCAGCTGAGGGGGATAAAGCCGTTTTGGACCCTCTCCCCCGAAGGCTCACGCTGCAGTCGGTGTGCTGCGGGCTGTGGTATGCTGTTCTCGGACGTTTTAAATATGAGGGGTTCTTCCTGGGCCTGGTGCTACGCCTGGGAAATCGCTGGAAGTCTGTGTGCAGTGCTCGTGTACAAAAACCGGAAGAAAATGCATTTTCCAGGAGGAGAATGTTGCTTTGTTATATATTTCATATGTTCTTTGCTCAATCTATTGCACAGAGAAAATACCGTTTTACCACAGAACAAAGGCACAAGCGTGAGCAGAAACTACACCCGTGTGCTGGTTTGAGTTGGGACAGAGTTATTAACCCCATGCTGGCAGGAAATACATCGCATTATTCTGTCCCCAAAGGCCCACGGACAGGTTAAAAGGGTCAGTACACACCAGGTGAGAGAGAGACGGTGAGCTGTTCATTGATGAAAGGACTGTTTTGCAATCTGTCATCACTGTTAGTGGGTATATATCAGCATCAGTGAAGTCCAGTATCATTTTTGCCATGGATATGAAATTCTTGCATATAACACAAAATAATCGGACTTAATCTTCTGGAATGAAACCAATTAATTCTACTTTTTTTTTATTTTCCATGTGTTAAAAGCACAAACTGGTGATCTATATGTAAATAAACTGCTACAAGATGAATGTAAACTGAGAAAGAATATACTATTTTTGCATGGTAACAGATTACTTAAAGACCTCTTGATGCCTTACGGAACATTTGGAAAAGCATTTTATTTAGAGGCAATTCTATCTACGTACTTTTTGTATCGTTAGCTCACTTTGGGGTTTTTTTTGGGGGGGGGAGGGCATTGGGGGAAGATACCAGCTTTAGATCTTTGTTTCTTCTTGGAATTAACGTTCTTTGGTACTTTGCACATTCAGTGGTTCCTATGTCACCTTCACTCCTGTTCAGTGATGAAGCTGAGGCTATGCTTTTTGGAGGAGAAATCTGGATGCTTGTAGACTGGGAGGGAAAAAGTTTTAGATCCCTGGAATTGTTCCAAAATAAAATGTTTTCTGAGGCATCTAGAGCCCCTTTAAGCCCTTCATTTCAGCTTTTTGTCACGTATTTTAGCGAAGTGCAAGCAGCGAACAAATGAGGCATTTTCGTGTTACCTATTTTCAACTGAAAGTGAAGGGGTGAAAATTAACATATACACTTGTGTAAAAACCCCATCTTAACTGTAATTAAAGATTTTTTCAGTTTTGGTTTGTTAGCATGTATATCAAAAAGTCATCTATGGAATCTTTTGTAAAGAATTAAATTGCCACATTTCTCAAAACCGCTCATACGATTTTCTCGTGGACTGACATCCAATAAAAGCTCTTTTATAAAACCTGTTGTTACTTCAGCACTCTGTCCTGACCATCGGCAAGAAGTCGTTCAGAATGCGTGCCTATACTGAACACGCTGTAAGAATAAAGTACACATAAAATAACAACCAAAGGAATATTGGAACCTGAGATTGATTTTACCAATCTTTTATGAAAAAATCGTTGCACAGCTCTCTGAAGAGGCAGCAGCCCTTCTGGAATGGTTTCATTTTTTATTTTAAATCAGTAATAATATAACCAAATGTATATGCTTGTTTAATATGATTTGACAATTGGGAATGCATAGTATTTTTTCAGACTATGTGTCTAAAACAATAAAGGTGAAAAGCGTTCAGTCTCTATTCCAGCTTTTGTGTGCATCTCTCCCTTCACTTGGAAATCCGTTAATGCCAAAGAATTATCTTCATTTTTCACGTTAATGAAGCAGTGCAATT